CCATTCGACCGCGATTCAGAGGCCACGTCTGCTGATGGAGGAGGAAGGAGTGAGAAAGAAAGAGCGCCGCTTACTGACTGACTACACTTTGTTAATCACACACACAGCAGCACACACACACACACACACACACACATAAACAAAGCAGGCAGCCAATCAGAGTGCGTTTTATCTGCAGATTGGGATGTGACCTTTTGTAGATTGTCTTTGTCTTTGGATTGATAACGTAGTAATTCTGCACACACACACACACACACACACACACACACACACACACACACACACTGGCTGTTTTGGTGGAAAATGTGTGCGCTGACTGATGTTTGTGTCATAGACTATAAAGGAAACTTGATCTTCAAGAGATTTGGCAAAATTCGTCAAGATCATAAAAACAGGATATAAATAGAAAATGTGATGATATAAATAAAAATATGGAGTACAACTAAATATGAATGGAAATATTATCTTTAAAAAGTTAATTAAAAGTTACTGCGTGGAACGTTTTATAGGTCACCAACATCAAGTTTTTCAAATTAAAATGACTAATACGAAAATGTCAAACTAGGAGGACATTTAGACAGAAATAAATAATCTCCCAACAGAAGAAATCCGAGTGACCTTTTCCATCCTGATAACAAGAGAATGTGTGTATTCAGTAGTGACATGATGCAGCTTTTCCTTCTGGAAGTAGTGAGTGTTTCCAGACTTAATGAGGCTGAATGAGAACACACACACACACACACACAGACACACACACACACACACACACACACGTCTGCTCTTTGGACCAGTTTCCATGACTCAGAGGGGTATCCCACGCTGCCTCCTCCCCCGTCACGCCCTCCTCTCGTGGTTTAACAGCGTTCATTCCGACACGGCGAGGAGCCGCTCTGCTCTCTGGGAGAAGGTCTCTGGGTGGATTTTAAAGCTCTGGATGAGAGCTGAGCAGGAGAGGGAGAGAGAGAAAGCCGGGTGAGTGACACTGGGAACGTGTGCCGATGATGTTGAGATCTGCGAGGCCACATCAGCGTTTTGTTAATGCCGCTCGTCTGATCAGATGTTTGATTTATTTCATATTTTTTAAGACTGTTTCATGTCAAAACATTGAGAAGCTCCTACAACATTCTAAATGTTTAGGTTTAGTCATGTGTACTTGTTTACCCAAAGCAGCCTATTCAAATTTTAGGAATAAAAAGATAAATGAATGTCTTCTGTATAAAAAGGGGCTTGTGTTAGGAAGATCATAATTTATATCTTTATATCCATGTGAACATCTGTACTTATCACAAACATTTGACAGATTCCTGTGAACACGTCACGGTAACATCATAATGTTCTCCTGTTCACTGAGCAGAGCTTGAACGCATCATCGTGTAACTGAAGTGAACCTCTGTTGCTTCGCTGTTCTCCATTAGCGGTGCGGCTAACGCTACCAGCTCCTCCTCCTACACACCGATTGGTTGTTTACGATGCCGCGCGGTCACAGATCAGAACCGAGAAACACATCCGTCTCTGATCGACGATCAATGATTCGGCGCAACATTCACTGGTTGTGTGACGCTGAAGGCGTCGTGCGGTCCGGTTTCCAGCGGCAGGCCGGCGGCGTTCCCGCTCCTCCTCCAGAGGATTACTGCTGTTGAAAGAGCCTCTTTGTCCAGCGCCGGGCTGGAATGTCTGTCCACGTCTTTCAAAGCTCTGAGCCAAAAGTCAACGGGAACCGCTGAGCACTGGGACGCCACATTCCCAGTGAGCCTCTCGCACTGGTTCCCCCCTTTAGTCCCACTGGTGGAATTAAAACCGTTACTCTCGATGCTGTGTTGCAAGCGCCGCGACGGCGCGCTCAAAGGTTCTGCTCTGGAAGCAGAACCATCGTCATCATTCTGTGGTGCAGAACAACAGTTCTGAAGTTCCTGTTATTATTTCTTTGGTAAGAATTGGAAATAGATCAGAGATGGACGGCAGCAAGTAAACTTACGGCACCGTTAGCACTGTTAGCACCGTTAGCACCGTTAGCTCCATATCGAGAGTGGCGATCCTCTTTAAGGAGTTTAAATATCTACATGCTCCTAAATAAACGTTACATAAACCAACTCAACTAAACTATTTAGAGAAAAACAAAACCTTCTGAGAAAGTTTGGAGACTTTCGTTCTTCTGCTTCGGACACTTGAAGCACCTTTAAGCTGCTCACCTCCGTCTCCTGGAGTATTTGTTGGAGAGACTTGCCCTCGTTTGTTGTGAATTTGTGTCTAATCTTCAAAAGACGGATATTCAGTGGCGTAAACCTGCTGCACAGCAGACATGTGGAGAGTTGAGCTGATGGCAAAGATCTGGGACCGGACGTACGGATATTCCATCATCGAGTGTCCCTGAGCGGTTGAGTCACCTCGGCCCCGAGGCGCCGCCGCTTGTCAGCGCTGTGGACTTCTTTCCTGGAGGCGCTGAGGTGTAATTTCTAAGGTCACCGGAGACGATAATCTAGTAATGAAAGACTCTGTGATCCTCTGAAGTGCTGCGCTGCAGCTTCACGCGTCTCTTTCAATAACAAACACGCCGCACAGGCTCGTCTTTAAAGGCCGCTGGTGTTTCCTCCGTGCAAAGTCACCCAGGATCATATTTGTCACGCGTTTCTTCTGTTAAGTCATACTTTTCTAGGCTTTTGCTGCTAGAAATGAAAAAAGACTAAAAGGGTCATTTCCTTTTGAATCCCGGTAGCGGGACGCTCACAATTCTTTAGTCTTCATAATAATAACAAGTCTTTATTGTATCAGTGAAACCATGGCCGGATGTAGCTTCAGTAGCTAGCTTAGCATCCCAACAGAGTGGGCTTACGAGCCAGCAAGCTAACTAGCCGACGATTTAAGGTTTCGTTTGGATTTCATGTATCTAGTTTAACAACTCAGCTAGCTTGTTCATGGACCGCTGGCTAGTTAGCGGGCTAGTTAATTCCACCATGCTTTAGTGTTACACTGGTTACAGATGAGGAAGATAAGAACGACAATCGGCACATTCACAATAAACAAAAGCAATAAAAGCCCTAGACATTTTTTATTGGTGAAATAAAAGATTCACTTGTGCAAAGCCCATAAACAGTTGTGTTTGTTGTCCCCGAGGAAGATTGTCTGCTACGTCTCGTCTCCTTCCACTGTAATGTGTGTGTGTGTGTGTGTGTGTGTGTGTGTGTGTGAGACGGGGCAGCTGGTGCGTTTAGCTGCCAGCGTCTCTCTCTGGGTTTCGTGTCAGAATAATGAATCCGGGTCTCCTCCCCATCGCACGCTTCCCGCCGTGCGCAGCAAAGCATTTAAACGTCAGGCGCTCTGGTTTTTGCAAAGCATTTAAAGATGCAAATGTTAGCTTGATATTAGGAAGTAAAGATTCCCTACGATATGGAAACGTCACAACCATCAAATAAAATGTGGTTCATGTGTAATAATTAAAATATATAAACATAAAAACAATAAAACGCTGGTAAAACCCTTGATTAATTGATTTTCTGTAATGCCCTGTCTTTCCTTACGGGGTGGAAACTCAGAGTCTCTCTGTAAGACACGAAGGCGCTTCGGGCGTCCTTCCAGGCGGCGTTATTTACTCTGCTTCCTCTTTTTTTATCTTAATCCGTTGGCCCGTCATAAAGCAGCCAGGTGTGTTTGCCAGGAGGTTTGGGACACACCTGCAGGGCGACGCTTCCTCGCCCCCCTCCGCTCGACGTCTTCCTCCTCCCACGGGTTATTTTGAGTAAAAGGCTTCATGAGGGTCGTTAGCCGACCTGCTGGAACCAATGACGTCATGAAGAGGAACTCTATGGAAATAGAACATCTGATGGAGGTCTATAGAGGATCAGGACTACAGTGGGACTGGTTCATGATCCTATATTATGAAGGACTAAACTGTTTGAGGCTCCATTCCTCTGCTTCCACATTCCTGATTATCTCCACATCCTGTGAGACGGCCTCTCGCCCTTTAAACGAGCACCTCGTTGGTCCTAGAGGACAAAGCGGTGGAAGTGGTCTATTCCACGTCGTCCCGCCGGACCGCTGAAGCCTCCTCCCGCCCTCCACAAACCCGCCCGTGAAGATCCCTCACGTGTGAGATCCACGCCGGGCCCACAGGAAACAATGCCGGCCTTTCTGCCCTGGCGTGGGGGGGGGTGGGGGGTAGTGGGGGAGAATTGGACTTCTTTGTCCGTCCATCGAGTTTCTGGATCTGAGAGAAAGGAAAAGCTGCTCACGTCCTCCACCAGCCTCACCAAGTTAACGGCAAAGACAAAACTGCTAAATTACACAAAGTGGAGGTCAATGGGTCCAACAAACCGGGAAGCCATTTGTTCCTTAATGTGAAAAGAGAAATCAACATGAATATTTTTGTTACGTAGCTTCACTAAAACCACTGATTTTAACCTTTTCTCCAGTTTTTCTCCATCAAGATGTTCTCCAAACTTCAAGACGTTTAAATACACGACACAAATGAGGAGTAGGTTTTAATGAGCGTTGCTCCGTTAGCTCCGTTAGCTCCGTTAGCTAAAAGCTGCTTGCTCAGCCGTCGCCATGTTGAGAGCCTCATGGAGTCAATGGACCTTTTTAGGCGTCATTTAAACCTTTTCTTGAGAACTAATCTACTCATAATTAAAATAAGTACCAAGTACTCCCTGTAGTAGTGTTGTTGTTATGAGAAGACAAACACGACGCACTTGTTGCAGATTGACCTCAGTACAATTCGCTGAGCTTTTAATGTGTTTGTGCAGATAATGATGGTTTCATTCATGCTGGTATTGTGGTGCAGTCAGAGAGCCCAGCCTTCCTCTTTCTCCACTTTTATTCTCAGCTTTATTTTTGTCAAACGTCCGTCACCACTCTCTCTTCCTCCCTTCCTCTTTTGTCCCCCTCCTCCTCCTCTTCCCCCTCCTCCTCCTCCTCCTCCTCCTCCTCCTCCTCCTCCTCCTCCCCCTCCTCCTCCTCCTCCTCCTCCTCCTCCTCGGGTCGTCACACACGTCTGTTTGCTGCAGGCAGGAATGCAGGTCTTAGTGTAGCAGCAAGCAGCAACAGGTCGGCCTCCTGAACGGGAGTCAGAGGAGAGGACTCTGCAGAGGCTGAGATCAGGACGGAGCGAGGACCTCCGAGGTGTCCTCATTCTGGGCAGGTCATGGAGGCGCTGCCGGACACCTGGAGGAAGGTAATCATTGCGACCTCCTTGAGAAGCTGGAGAATGGGACCTGAGGAGCCGGCTCAGGGAAGAGCAAGAACTTGTTTTTATTCTCCGGCCGATGGCTTAGTGACTTGCGGTTTGCAGGCCGTCCTTCAGCGGGACGCCACGAGCGACGGAGCATCACAAGCACCTTTTGGGCAAACGGCTGCGTGTACTCTGGTTCTCGGTGATCTGATGGAGGCTTCTCTGACACGACCTGCTCACATGGAGACCCGGCTCGGACCCGGGCTACACCTACAAAATACACACTACACACAGACAGCAGGACGTACACACACACGCAGCCGCGCGGGCGGTGGAATGTGTTTTTTATGCCTCTTTGTTTCAGCGCCTGAAGAAAATCCCCCAAAAATGAAGTAAGAAAGGAGGAATGGGGAGCGGCTGTGTGTGTGTGTGCGTCTGTGTGTGTGTGTGTGTGCGGGTGTGTGTGTGTGTGTGTGGGTGTGTGTGTGTGGGTGTGTGTGAGGGGGGTTTAGAGCTCAGCCAAGGTGGCGGATTTCCAGTGAATGTGTGAACTACAGAGGGATTTAACTGTGTGCGTTTTAAGCGTGTCACTTCCTCAGTGTGTTGCTAAACACTGTCTACCATCTGTTTTTGTGTGTGTGTGTGTGTGTGTGTGTGTGTGTGCGCGCTGACGGCATGAATCACACACACACACTGTCTCAGTGTGTATCAGAGTGAAAATACCACGAAATATGGGAACATTTCTGACCATGAAAACACAAAACGCACAACATCTGGACGTCACCCACGGCGGCCGTTGCTCTCCTCTAATGTGATGATGTCACTTCCTCTCGCAGGATCTTTATGTGTCTCAGGGAGCCGTGGACAGCTCAGTGGACATGGACCGCCTGAACAGGAACATGCCCGAGTGTGGACTGCAGACCCACCAGGTGTTAAAGGTGAGTGGGGGGGCGGGGCCTAGACTGTAGACAGGAAGTGGGCGGAATCACCCTTTGGTTTGTGGACGGCCTTTCTGAAGCCCTTAAATTCCTTGAATATTGATTAATAAGAACCTCCCGTTTCTCCAAAAGTCCTGAGGTGCAAAACCGAGCCGGCCGTGATGATGTCATCGTCCGTCCCGCGGCCCATCGAAGCGTTGGATCGTGCTCACACAGCTTTTAGTTATCGACAAGAAAATGACATATTTTGTATCCCGTCGCTCCCAGCGAGCCGCCAGCTGTCACTCAACATCACGTGTTGTGTTCTGGCAGTTGTTTATTGATTCATAATCACATTCAGAGTTGTCAACAAGTAAAACTCTAAAAACATGATTTGACTGACAGGACGGACGCAGGAGACTTGAACCTTCAAATGAAGGCTGCGATATGTGAAGTAATATAATCTCGTATTTAGAGTCTAGTCTTTTAGTTTGTTGTGTATTATTGAGCCTCGTAGTAATAATAATAATAATAATAATAATGATGATGATGCGAGGAAGTGCTCAAGAACCTTCACGTTGACCCACAGACTCAACATCTTTATTTCCAGTAGAAGCTCAACAGGAGAATAATAAAGAATAAATATGACAATGATTAAAAACTAGCAGAGACTTTTCCTCATTTCCCATTAAGAAGAAGATTAAAAAGCTCAATTGTCTCCGTGTCTCCGTGTCCATCACTGAAACGCCCTGCAGGAGGTTTCTTAATTGCGGAGCGCTGTTGCCATGGCGACGCCCCTCCTCGCTGTGCAGAGAACTCTGCAGCGCTTTAGAATAGAATAGAATAGAATAGAATAGAATTAGAATAGAGAGACATAATAGAGTCGGTGAGGGAGACATCGACTCATCCACGACACGCTAATCACACGCTAATCACATGCCGATCAGATGTCAATCACACGTATCACATCAGATGATTGGGGAAAAAAAAGTCCCATCCAAAAATCTAATTTTATTTATAACCTTTGACCTCTCAGAGCACTGCGCTGGACCTGATCGAGAGCGGGAAAGGACTGAAGTTCCAGGCAGAGCGCCCCCACCTGGTCAGTCTGGGTAGTGGACGCCTCAGCACCGCCATCACCCTGCTGCCCCTCCCCGAGGGTGAGACACGCTGACTTTAGTCCTGATCCAGACTCTGCGTCTCTGCTGCTGCATGTGGGTCTGTAGGGAGATTCCAGAGGGTCCAGGCAGAGATAGTGTGTGAGTCATTGTGTGTGTGTGTAATGGATCTCCAGTATCTTCCCCGGACTCTAGATCTCTTTTACCTGGAATCTTGGTGTGGCTCCTCCCCCTTTTACGTCTCTTGTCCTCTGTGCTGTGAATTGACCTAAGTGACCTTTCCAGACTTTATTTGTAGCAGCCCCTGCTGGGACCCCCTCCCACCCCCCCCCCGCTCAGAGACCTCTCATTGATATGATGGTGTCTCATTATTAGGTATTATTGAACCTCATCAGACGTTAACCCCCCCACTACCCCTCACAGGACGGACCACACTGGGTCACGGCAACATGGACATCAGCATCCAGGGCCCCGGAGTGGAGGCCCAGCACTGCTACATCGACAACAGGTCAAAGGTCATCACGCTGCACCCCTGTGGGAACCTCTGCAGCGTGGACGGGCTGCAGGTCTCACAGCCGGTCCGCCTGTCTCAAGGTAGGACCGGGTCTCACACACTGTCCCGTCTCACACACTGTCCCGTCTCACACACTGTCCTGTCTCACACACTGCCCCGTCTCACACACTGTCCCGTCTCACACACTGCCCCGTCTCACACACTGTCCTGTCTCACACACTGTCCCGTCTCACACACTGCCCCGTCTCACACACTGTCCCGTCTCACACACTGTCCCGTCTCACACACTGTCCCGTCTCACACACTGTCCCGTCTCACACACTGTCCTGTCTCACACACTGTCCCGTCTCACACACTGTCCCGTCTCACACACTGTCCTGTCTCACACACTGTCCTGTCTCACTCTGCACTTCGATTGCTGTTTTCTCCAACGTTTAAAACAACGTTACATGAGACTTGGTGGTGGTAATGAGGTAACGAGGTAACGAGGTAATGAGGTAATGAGGTAACAAGGTAACAAGGTAACGAGGTAATGAGGTAACAAGGTAACGAGGTAATGAGGTAACAAGGTAACGAGGTAACGAGGTAACGAGGTAACAAGGTAACGAGGTAACGTGGTAACAAGGTAACGACGTAACGAGGTAACGGGGTAACGGGCTAACGAGGTGGACAGAACAGAGGGAGATCCGGTGTATTTCCCTCCTGGTGGATCTGAAACGACCCACATGGGTTTGGAGCAAGAGGTCGGAGGCCTTGATACAGTTGCATAAAACGTACAAATAAGAAAGTATGAGGGTGACGTCCTGAGAAGGAGCCGCCTGTGATTCCTTCACAACTTCAGAGGAGACAGGAAGTCGTGGGGCAGCGAGTTTTAGGCGCCAGCTTTAAAACCGAGTTAATGAGGTTACATTTTAGTTTTATTATCGACATTTCATTATTATAATAAACGTCTTCATCTTATAGTTTATTATTATAATTATTCGTTATGGTTCGTTTGATCATCATTATGTATTATATAGTGTAGGTAATGATTATAATAATAATTTTAATTTTTTAAAGAGTGAATTAAAAAAATGAATTTGATTCTAGTTGATGATTTTAGTATTTTATTCACATTGAGGATAATTAGGTAATAGTTTTGAAGTCTTTGAGTTTACGTGTAGCTGCTAATGAGCACCATGTCAAACTGCACCCTTAAAGAAGAGATTTCCTTTTATACGACATAAAATAGTAGAAGTTGTGTCAGCTAAGCAGGCGGAGCTTGAGTCACACAGGAAGCAGAACTGTGTCATGACAACATTCCATGGTGGGACGTGAATGAGTTAAAGGGACACAACTCATCTTTACTCACAGGAAGTGAACTCCCTCTGCTGCCGTGTCATCGCCCCGTGATGTCATCGCCCCGTGATGTCATTGCCCCTTTAGTGCTGTTTCACCTGTGGACAGTAGTAAAGTGTGCGTCCATCATTGCGTGATGGATGGGGGAAAATATGTGTGTAACCACGACGCATCTGGCAGAGAGTCAGACGCTCTGGCTGTTTAGCAGACGGGGACGTGGTTGTCATGACGTCACCTCACTGGTTTGTGGACTGATGTCATGTAAAGTCGAGTTTGGAGATGTAGCAGTCGCCATGTTGGCTTTCTCTCATCCAATAAATGAAGTAGTAGTAGACGTAGTGACGTCGTGCCGCCGTCTCTCGTAGAGACCTGTCACTCAGCGCAAAAAGCAGAAAACCACTGAGCAGAGCACTTATCCCATGATACATTGCGTGGTGCAGTCTGTGGTGCACAGAGCTTTTTAAAGCTGCATTAACCAACGGTCCCTGAAGGCCCCGGTACGAAGCGCACACTCAGCAGAAGCACATGCTGCTTAGAGCCGGCGAGCGGGGGCCTCTGACCTGTCCGTCTTTGGCGTGCAGCGCCGACGTCCTCACCTCCTGATGGGTGCTCTCCGTACTGCTGCACTCCTCCTTCAGGTTCTCCTCGTCGCTCTCCCGCTGCCTCTGCAGGAGGTGCAGCCCCCCCGCCGCGGAGGAGGCGGGGCCTCCAATGGCGTTGTTGTTGGACGGCCCGCCGGGGAAACCGGTGCTACCGGAGGGCAGAGGGTCGCAGGAGGTCTCTCCCTTGTTGTACTCGGCACACAGGTGGAGGATCGTCTCCAAACGCTGTCTCTCCTGAGGACGCACGGCGTCTCTGGGTTATTGAGCAATCAATCAAACTCTCTCCGGTTTTGCGGACGTTATGAAGACTCAAGTTTGGCATTTTTCTGTAGCGGTCTTGTTTCTTTTCAACTAATGAACAGGAAGTGACCGTATAAGGACTAGAGACCTGTCAATCAGCATGTAGCCCCGCCCATTTGACTCTAAATGGACCATCATTCACTAAATGAACATCATGCTGTGTTGAAGAAGACATGAAACTAGAGACTGAGACCATAAACTCATGTTTACAATGTTTACTGAGGGAATAAATCAAGAGAGAAGTAAAGTCATTTCCTCATAGACGTCTATGGGAGCAGAGGAGTCGCCCCCTGCTGGTCACTACAGAGAAGTAGAGTCATTTCCTCATAGACGTCTATGGGAGCAGAGGAGTCGCCCCCTGCTGGTCACTACAGAGAAGTAGAGTCATTTCCTCATAGACGTCTATGGGAGCAGAGGAGTCGCCCCCTGCTGGTCACTACAGAGAAGTAGAGTCATTTCCTCATAGACGTCTATGGGAGCAGAGGAGTCGCCCCCTGCTGGTCACTACAGAGAAGTAGAGTCATTTCCTCATAGACGTCTATGGGAGCAGAGGAGTCGCCCCCTGCTGGTCACTACAGAGAAGTAGAGTCATTTCCTCATAGACGTCTATGGGAGCAGAGGAGTCGCCCCCTGCTGGTCACTACAGAGAAGTAGAGTCATTTCCTCATAGACGTCTATGGGAGCAGAGGAGTCGCCCCCTGCTGGTCACTACAGAGAAGTAGAGTCATTTCCTCATAGACGTCTATGGGAGCAGAGGAGTCGCCCCCTGCTGGTCACTACAGAGAAGTAGAGTCATTTCCTCATAGACGTCTATGGGAGCAGAGGAGTCGCCCCCTGCTGGTCACTACACAGAATGCAGCTTTATAATATGAAGCAGTGACTAATCTGAACGTCGTCACTGTGTAGAAACAAAAACAAATTCAAAAATTACTAACAGCCCACAATTGAAAAAATTGAAACCCGTGAACCACCCGGGTCGCCTGTCAGCGTTGACCCGTCTGTTGCTTACCTGGTATTCCAGGTAACCCGAGCAGGGACACGGCGTCTATTTATACCGGCCCCTTCCTCCCCAGACGCATCCCGCTCGGGCCCCGGGGGGCTCAGCGAGTCTCGGGGGGGTAAACCAGAGTTCAGGTGTCACGATCCCGGAGGAGCAGAAACAGGAAGCTGCTGGTTGTGCAACACTGGAGACGGTGCAGTGCAGGCGATGAATAGACGCGGCGAGGACGCGGCGTGGCGAGCTGCCACTCAGACGCTGACGTCAGGCCGGCTGCTCCTCCATCGAGCAGCGACACGCCGGCGGGAAAGTCCCAACAATGAAAGGGCTCATAGAAAAGAGGGGTGAGCCGATGATTTATGGGGATAAAAGGAAGAGAGAGGAAGCGGCTAGTGGCTCCTGATCGCATTCAAGAAATATTTTATCATTTAGGAAGTTTAAAGGGCGACTCAAACACAGAAAGGACGAAAGCATTCAGTTTTATTCTACTCGTTTAGCGACCGGCTAGTTAGCGAGCTAGCTGCTGTAATGCTGTAGAGTTAATAATCCTTATTTATTTGAACTGTTACTGTAGTTACAAAACACAAAGAAACACACCACACAAACAAACGTGGACTTTTACCACCAAATAATCATAAATAGTGTGATAAGTTCACATGAAAGGAGAGCGTCTGCTGATTGAGTCTGAGTCGAGCGTATCAAAGCAGCCGCGCCCTCAGATACGACCTCAGGGACTCTCACCCACAACCCGCCAAACATCTGTATCTTTATGGCGTTTAATATCAGCGTGTTCTCTCGTGAGGCGATGACACGCCGCGTCCGCGTTCCCTCCACCAGATAAACGCCACGAGACTCGCGAGCAATTTAAGAAATAACAAATAAAAACAAATAGTTTGTTATTAAAGTGTCGTCGTCCAGATGTTCACAGCCCAACGGGAGCCACGACCGATAGCGTTTATTGATGAGTCAAGTGATTCAGACGTGGGTGGTCCCCCCTCCTCCACCTCTCCCCCCTCCTCCTCCTCTTCCTCCACCCCTTCCTCTTCCTCCCGCTCCTCCTCCTCCTCCTCCTCCCTCTCTGCGGGCTCGGAGCTGACGGAGAACCAGCTGTATCTTCTCGGCAGAAGGCGACCGGCTCTTCGCGACGGACAAAACAATGACTTAAAGAACGCGCCCTTTGTTTGTCTTATTTTTAATACCCTGGATTTACCCCCCCTGCCCCCCCTCGCCCCCCGCCGGGCGGAACCGCGCTTACCCGGTGCGGGACAGGCAGCTCCTCTCCGGTGAGGAGGATCGTCACCACAACAAAGCGCGTGCGGCTCCGCGGTGAGAAGAGGCGCGATGCGGACCTGAAGTAAGTTCCTGCATTAAAGGGCTTCTGCAGCCCCCCCGCTGGGCTGAAGCCGCTATGTGGTGGTGGTGGGGGGCTTCTTGTTTGGAGCTTCCAGTCGAGGCGCCGGACTCCGCTCAGAAACGTGTCAAACGGGACGTTGTGTTGGCGAATCGATAATTGGATGAATTCGAAACATTCCTCGCGGTTGTCTGTGAGTTGTGGGGAGTCATTATTCGATTCGGCGCACACGCACGAAGCATGACCCGCTCCAGCATTTAGAGAATGCACTTTTAGTCTCTGTTCCTCTCAGTTTGAACGTCAATGGAATGCGCCTTGCCGGGTGGGAGCTAGCTGTGTTAGCATAGCACAAAGACATCAGGTTCGTTTTAAATTAGAAGTTGCTTCGCGCTAGTTTTCATGCCGACCTCTTCTGAAATACCCTTCTGACATTTCTGAGTTGTTTAGGTCAGACTTTAATACAAAGAACTTCCCTTAAAAGCTCGGAAACTTTGAACAGGGAGTTTTCTGAGCGGAGTTTGGTTCGTCACTTCGACACCTGCTCACTTTGCTGTCTCCACCTCTCTGCAGCTCTGCCTCCATGTGAGTTCTGTTTATAGACTACAAATATATACAAGCCCCCCCCCCCCCCCCCCCCCGCAGCCTGGCCTGACCGGACCTCTCTGTTACGCTGCTATTCCTGGTTGCCAATCTGACCTTACTGGAATAGAATGGAGCTTTGCTGTCATGCTTTCTGCACATCCAGAGACCTCTGGGTTCCTGGGGTGCCGTGGGGGGCGGGGGGGGGGGGGGGGGGGGGGACCATCCTCCTGGGCTGCTTGGTCATCCTCTCTGCTCCACCACACTTCCTCAACACTTGTCATCTCTCTGACACATAGCGTTGACCCCATTGTGAGGGGCTGGGGGGGCAGGATGTGAGGATTCCGAGAGGACCCCCCTCCCCCTCTGCAAACAGTCATCAGAGCTGCTGTGGATGTGCTTCTGCCAGTTGAGGGGAAGCTGGTCGGTATATAGATATATATATATCACTTATCGTCTATGGTGGAACGTTCAGGTTAGAGATCCACCGTCCAGCTTTGTTTTTAATGTGAACTTAAATGAAGCTGAAGATTCCAGCGACACTTTAAATGGATCGATAGAGTTCATTGAAGAAAAGGATGAAGACCGTAATCCGCTTCAGAGGATCAACTCTGAGACCTCATTCAGAATTTCAAAATAAATATCAATTATAACATTATCAGTTATATTTGGCTTTAACTTTGTTGTCAGTCTGGGACCACAACTGTAAAATGAGTCACGCCATCATACCTTAAGACCAAGATATCAAATGATAGGAACATACTATTTTAGTTTTGCTTTAGTTCCCTGAACTTAAGTTGACGTACTCAAACACGAGGTTTTGCCTAAGTGGTTAATTGCAACGCTTTCTGTTTTTGTTGCCTAACCCTGAACATTATTTTTAGCCCAACCGTGTTTTTCTTGAGTCGCTTGGACCTGAATCCAGTTGTTATTGTTCTCGTCAATGTTGCTGAATCACCAGATTAAAAAGCGTGATGACTGAGTAGTAAACTGAGTCATTTTAATAGCGTAAAGCATCGAGCAGTAAAGAAAACCGTAAATATAAATCTAAAGGGACAAAAGCCAACAGGTTTCCTCTCGCGTGTGGTCGGTCTGCGAGGTAGTCCATCTGCCGCCGGCAGCATGGTTAAGACAAAAGGAGGGGAGGGACGATGATGATGAGGGGGGGTGGGGGGGGAACATCTGTTCAGATCATCCTCGGACACGTTACCGTGGAGATTGTCCTCCAGCAGCTGACAGGCTGCATTTGGTGAGGTTTAAAGGGACCGCTGGTTTTACCCATGAGGCTCAGTGTCACAGTCTGGGGGGGGGTGATGTCTGCTGTGTCTGTGAAAGGAGCTCGTAGTTCTTTTAAAGCTGCATTCTCTGTAGTGACCAGCAGGGGGCGACTCCTCTGCTCCCATAGACGTCTATGAGGAAATGACTCTACTTCTCTGTAGTGACCAGCAGGGGGCGACTCCTCTGCTCCCATAGACGTCTATGAGGAAATGACTCTACTTCTCTGTAGTGACCAGCAGGGGGCGACTCCTCTGCTCCCATAGACGTCTATGAGGAAATGACTCTACTTCTCTGTAGTGACCAGCAGGGGGCGACTCCTCTGCTCCCATAGACGTCTATGAGGAAATGACTCTACTTCTCTCTGGATTTATTCCCTCAGTAAACATTGTAAACATGAGTTTATGGTCTCAGTCTCTAGTTTCAAGTCTTCTTCTGGAACCCAATCAACGTACATTTGAGTCATTATTTTTCAAACCTCCCAGAAACGGCGTATTTGTCTGATCTCTGTGGGTTCTGCGTGTCGTTGCCATGTGACCCACGAGCAACCGCCGTCCTCAGACACCCTCACCGGTCCACCATGTGATCGCTTCCCCGACCTTTTCAGAGTCCTGTTCACCACATGATGGGAAGCCCTCCTGCTCCTCCTCTGGTATGTGCGTCTGTGTTTGATGGCCTCCGGCTCGGGGGAAAGGCGGTCATTGATTAACCGCGGGGTTTGACCCCCGTCCTTTGCCGGGGCTGTAAACCGTCCCGTCTCCATGGCAACGGTGGGCTGTGTTTTATTTTTTTGGGGGGCCATCTCTTTTGTCCGCCGCTCCTCTGAGCTCGCGACCCTCTGAGGGGAGGAGGCGTAGCGGACCTTCATTTAAAGCTTTCGCCGGTTGTTCTAACTTCATTCTTCTCTGCTGAGTTAAAATCAAACTGTTGTAACTGTCGCTATCCCAGTTACGCACCACGGTGGAATCAAGTGGAAAACCTTTATACAAATAAATAAATATTTCATTTTTAAATTCAGCTGACTTAGGAGGTAATATTTGGCCTAATAAAGGTCAGCTCTCCTCTGAAGGTCAGAAGCCTTCAGGCAGGAGGAATCATCTCAAGGTCATCTCCCGTCAGTGTGCTATTCAATAAACATTTTTATATTCTTCTTACTGTGACCACTGTGACAGGAAGTTGAGTTTGATGATCATTTGCTTTATTCATAGACTTAAATCTCAAATATTAAAGACTCACTAAAGCGAAATCATTTTGATATGAAGTGCTACTTTTAAGAGCGCTTGTTAATTAGTGTGCATAATAAACCTTAGATTTCTTCTCTGTTAATGTCTGTGAAGTCGCTCTATCACTGACACGGGGTTCGGACATCTGCAGCACCATGACCTCCACTAGCTTCCTTTCTGGAAGGTTCCAGTTGCTATTAACAGACCATTATGGATTATTACAGCGTGTCCTTAAGAGTCCTCTGTGATCCACTCAAGGGTCCCTGTTCGAGGTCCAAGTGTCCTTGAGGAAACACCGTGAACCCCGAGAATCAAGCTGCACGTTCTCCTGGCCGCTGCTGGGTTTGTTACCTGGAGGTGACCGGGGGGGACGAGGGGACGGGGGGGGTCCGGCTGGGAGATGTAATGTCCTCAGAGTGCACTCTCCGTGATTGGACCACTTGTTCCTGGAGGGGCAAGTGGAGAATGGTTCCCGGGCTAAGTGATTACCTGGCTGGATTTCAGGGGCAACGCGCACACAGCGAAGCCTCGTCGACCATCACCAGCATTTAGAAAATGCCCATGTTTGATATTTTCCGTTGATGAAGCGGACTCACTGGTTTCGCTGAGCTCAGGCTCTCCCGTTCTGGGAAGGACTTTTTGTTCCAGGCTTGAGGGTTGTTGAGGGGGGGCAATAGAAAGCTATGCTGCTGTGGATGTTCTACCAGATGTGGAACTGACATTTAACCGCTGCAGCACTGATACAAATCCCTGTCAGTGAGCTGACTGGGATTTGAAGTTGGAGCAGGACTCTGTTTTGGGTCCGTTCCTGCGGTGATGTTTGGAGAGGAGCTCCTTCCTCTCAAAGGGAGAAGAACATCTCTGCTGGAGTCTAAGCTTTCATTTCCACCAAAAGGTGTTTTTATCTGAGATGGGAAACTTCCCTTCCAGAGAGTCCAGGGAGAAGCTGAGCTCAACCCTCTCCCATAGAAGACTATGCGCTACACTACTTATCTATAGTGACCAGCAGGGGGCGACTCCTCTGCTCCCATAGACGTCTATGAGGAAATGACTCTACTTCTCTGTAGTGACCAGCAGGGGGCGACTCCTCTGCTCCCATAGACGTCTATGAGGAAATGACTCCATTTAGAGTCAAACAGACCATGAAGCAGGGGACGCTTTAGGGCGGAGCTACGCACTGATTGACAGGTCCTCCCCTCTGGTTTTCATGGTGGTCTGTTGTCGGACGCCCCCTGAAGGCTCCGTGGGGACCAGTTGATGAGCGCTGATGGATGTTTCGTCTTTCTATCCAGATAAATATCACATAGTCAAGTTCTGGAAGTGATGAATCTGCTTTGCTTCGTGATTCAACCTTTTTATACATTTTTTTTAATTGTAAGTTTTAAAGTTCAGTTTTATATAGTTATGTTTCTTTTTTAAATGTCACTACATGTGAGTTATTGCTGAGTGTCAAACGGGGGGAAACGATGGAAAATGTAGAGCGATAAAACCCAAACTGTCATAATAATTAATGTAAAATCCAGAGTTACCAATGTGTTTGAAATATTGAGGCTGAATGTGTGCTTAATTTAGGGTAAATTAATAAAAGACATACTGAACTTTAAACTTTTGTTAGCAGAAAGACAAATAAGTTGCTTTTGGTTCTTCAAACACGCTTTCTTTCTGATTAATTAGTTTTCAAGGATTAGGTAGAAATCCTCCCGTGGTGAAATATTTAAGCCTTTTATTAAAGGTTGTTGCATCTCCAAAGCCACCAGACTGTGATCAGAAATGAATGATTGTAGCTGACAGAACTCTTTAGGTTACTGGTCATAGTTTGGTTAGTTATTGTTGTAAAGGGACTTTAGATTCACTATACTCAAACGTATTGATCACTAATCAATAGTGAAAAGTCTAAATAAATGATGCCGAGCTTTGGACTAGTTCAGACGTTTATTTGATCAAACACTGAAACAAACACACTGGAGTTCATATAAATGTTACTTTATGTGATTAAGAGTTTCATTTTAGTGTTAATAACTGTGACTATTGTGATACTCCGGAGTCAATGGTTCATTCTGCTCGACTGGGAGGAGAAACCGTGTTTGTGTGTTTGTGTACAGTGTGTGTGCTCTCTGTTCAGCTGACTCATCTCACACACACACACACACACACATTTAGTGGGTGAGGAGACGACGTGTTGCTGCTTGTCCATCAGCTGGCAGATGGCAGCCAGCGCTTCACGGGTCAGAGCGGCGTTCTCTCACGGTACACGTCTCATAGACCTCTATGGGGCCTGGAGGGTCCAGGTCTTCATTCCTCCGCTGATGCTCAGCAGTCAGACGTGGGAGAGGAGGCCGATGCATACGTGGCCCCAAAATATTCCTATTCAGCATCTCTTTTTCGATCTGTGGAAAATACCAACCAAAGTTCTGCGGTCTTGAGCCGCTGGAGGGGAAGACGTAATGAGGGACGAAGGAGGAATGCGGGGTTTTTATTTTGCCAATAACGGGATCAATTGAGCTGGTGTCTGGCAGCGAGGCGGCCCGAGTCAGCGCTTTGCTCCCGACTCGTCTGCAGAGAACACGGGACGGGGGCAGAAATGGAAATAAATAAGAGGAGGTTTGTTCTGCACGCGGCCCGTAATCAGGGGGGTTTGTCCCGGCAAAATAAAAGCGCACCTGCCTTTTGTGCGTCCTTTCTGTACTTATGGGCAGTGAGGATCTCATCTGTCATCATCTGTCAACCAGAAACGCCCCGATTCTTTGAAGCAAAAGAGCTGAGCGATGACGAAAGGCTCCGTGGAGCTGACGGGAGCTGCGGCGTTTGTTGATTTAAATTGGTCATTTCATCCGTTATTAGTTATACGATTATTGATTAGTGCAGATTTGAATTTAAACAAGGAAACTTGTGAAAGTGTAACTTGTACCAACGTGAGCCGAAGTGACCGCGCTGAGTCAACCAACCCCCGACGGGCCGCGTGTGCGTGAAGTCGACGGCGCTGTGGGGCTGAAGCGTGTTTGGGTCTTCGAGCGTCTTATCTCCTTAATTGGACGTGTTTCCTGAAGCAGGAAGTGGGGCGAGGCTCCTCTGATTGGCCGAGTAACCCGAGGGGATTTGGATCGGCCGGAGGAGACTCACTTGATAACGGAAGGGCCATGACCTCCGATGACCTCCCTGTGTTATTGGTTCCTGTTTTAACCCTTTGCGCTGCTTTCACTTCTGAAGCCTGATGCCACCGCATCCGCTCTCTCCTTCCCCCCCACCGAGTGTCTCACGTTCTTCACCAGCAGGATGGACCTTCTCCTCCCTGAGCCCTTCAGCTAACACCAAACATGTGATGCTGTCTGCAGGCTGCATGCTGTGTTTTGGCCAGTCGGCCTTCTTCCGCTTCAACCACCCCGAGGAAGCCTGCAGGATGAAGAGCATGTTGCCCCACGGCGGAGGCGTCTCCACCGGGGACTACCGACTGCGTCCAGGTACCAAACCGCCGTGCATGTTAATAATTACACCGACAAAGACACGCTGACCCGATTGTCACGTAAAAAAAAATATCGCCTACACTCAAAAATATTTTCCAGTTTGGGCTCGGCCTGCAGGAATGAATGCTCCGACTGTTGCACAGACGGGTGGGGGCGGTGGAGGCTTTTTACAGGTGGATGTTTGCGCAGCAGTAAACCGCTGACATTTTTTCCCTCTTTTACGGCCCAGAAAGGGCGGAGGAAGCCGAGCAGCTTACTCATTCAGCAGAGGTGTACACTGCAAATAAAAATGATTTGACTGCTGCTCGAGTCTTCTGACTTAAAAAATAAGTCCCAAATCCATATCGATCCTGGATTGACGAACGTTGATGTGTTTCATTCCCACTTTGTTTGGACAGTCGGACTGTTGAGAGAATCCTGAAGAGATAAAGTTAGTGGACTGTACCTCTAAAGATTGTGGCTCCCTGTTTGTTTCACCCATAGTTGGATATTATTTCATCTCTACACATTCTATGACTGAAATGTAGAAATAGAAGGAACACACGCCAAAGAAGTCCGTCCTGCTGGATGCGCCAATCTAACGATATTCGGGGGTTAAATCGGGCTGCTCACGTTCTTATGTAAACTAAAACGGAGTTGGTTCTGGCGCCCCCTGTGGACTGACGTGGTAATGACATCACCACTCTACAGCGGCAGGTTTTTAGGCCCCAAATCCGGTCGTATTTCAACCCCACTACATGGAACGAAGGCTCTATCGTGTCCTGACCCTGCAGCCTGAATGGGGGCAGAGCTGGACCTGGTTCTGGAGTTCACACCATAAATGTTTTGTGAGCGTCTCCAGGCAAAGGTTTTCCGCTGTGTGTCCTCCTGGAAGTGTCGTCTTGTTATTTCCCTCCTCCGCCTGGTGACGCTGCCCCCGGGAGGTTAAGTATAGCACGTACAGGCCAGTAATGAAAGCCTTCCGTTGTTTGGGAACCCGTCCTTTCCCCTCATTTATGCATTCCTGGGATGCATTCCGCTCCGGCCCCTCCCTCGGTAATCCGTCATCGCTCGCAAGGTACTTAGAAACGACTCTTATCTTAATCTGAACTCTTATCGTGGAGGACAAACCCATCCAATTGAACTTTTGCTAAGTCCCGCCCCTCAAACCCGGACTGGCCAATCGGAGGTTCTTCATGTTTGGTCAGGTTCTGTGGATTTGGAGCTCGTCATTGTTGGACTCCTTCAGCATGGCGAAGCCATGACCATCTATAGCTGACCTAAGTCGGTTTGTTGCCTAAACCTAAACGCTTTATTTTGAAAATACTGCATTGACGTAACAAGCGACCACGAGTTGTTTTGACCGTTTTTTTATTTAAGCTTTTCCCAGGATGGTGACATCCCGCTGACCAGCTGTCTTTGGCCCCCACTTCTATGCTGATTGGACGTTTCCTGCCCCCCCCCCCCCCCATGTCCACCCACCAGACGGCTTTGTGGCTCTGAGCTGCTTACTTAAAGTGGCTGACTGGCTACCGTTACAGTGTCTCTTTCGGAGACTATTTATAAACCTCCAGATCCATTCTGGTCTCTGACATCTCGGCCCCTCCCTCGCCGGGTCCCCCCCCCCCCCCGCCCCCGCCCCCGCCGGCCCTCCAAAGCACGGCAATAAAAGCCCCTTAACTTTACCTGGTTTGTCTGTTTGAAAGACATCGACAAAGCCGGCACGGCAATGCAGTTATTACGGTTACTGATATTAAAATGATCCACAAAGTCTCCTTCAGCGAAACTGGACACTTGGACCCGTAAGGACGTCTTTGGTTTGGGAAAGTTTTGCACTTAAACGAATTTCACGTGTGCACATACTTGGCTAATAAAGCTGGTTCTGATAACCTGTTAATAGCTGTTATATAACTTAAAGTTACCGTGAGGAGCTTTTAACTGGTCCGTGGAGTCCTGATCCGCTACCCTAAACCAGACCATCAGAGAGAAGACGTTCTATCTCCATACAGTTCTTCTTGATGATGTCACCGGGTCCGGTTCTGATGAAACCAGATGACATCATGCAGGTTCACCAGAACCTCCAAACATACAGAGGAGGCATTTTTAGTTTGCCTACTTTTGACACCTAACATGTTTTACTTTTTACTTAGCAATATTTTCACTGGAGAATTCGATGTGTTTATATTTGACAGTAAGAAAAAAATAGTTTAAAGCAGTGGTCCCCAACCTTTTTTACCTGACGGACGGGTTTCATGTCAGACAATATTTCGCGGACGGGTCTGTGTTCGCTGGTCGGCGAAACTGCCGTGCAGGGTAAAAGGACAAAAAAACGCCTGGTGACGCGTGGGGAATCTGTCAGTGGGACAAGCGCACACAATTAGGAAAAAATCCGGTCAATTTTCAAAATAAAACATTTTTCAGAAATACATATATATATATATAAGCTTTCTGTGGTGCGGCCCGGTACCAAACGGCCCACGGACCGGTACCGGTCCGCGGCCCAGTGGTTGGGGACCACTGGTTTAAATGACTTAAATTCCATTCTTAAACTTTGAAGTTATTGCTTTTGAAACGGTACGGCATAACGTTGCATGTAAGATAATAATAAAATAATCAATATCATCAAATGTATCATTGAACATCGTCATAGTGCCATGGCCATCTCTCCGGATGGATTATTTAAAAAGCATTATATTAACAATAAACAAGGACGAGCCTCTTTATAACAGCGCTATAAATATCGCAGTAGTTCACGGCGCCTTGGAAAGAAGAGCCACGTCAAGGTGGCCATGACACCGGAAAACGGAAGGTACCGCCTTCAAAATAAACCTTTTAAAACTGCGAACGCTGCTATTTGATGCTGTACACGGAGTATTGTGCGTGTATGCCGCTTTGAGAATGACCGTATAATATGCCGTGTTACCTGCTTGCGTTAATTAGAATCCACTAATAAAAATCGTCGTCGTCAACTTTAACGTCAACCTTTTTATTGTCTTATCACACACCGGAAATACGCTGTCAGGCGGTGAGTAACTTGACACCAGCGCCGCCGTCGTTCAGCAGCGGCGCGGAGCACCTCGACCCCCGGCTCGGTACCACCGCTCCCTCGGCGTGTGCTCGTGGCGCCAGCCGTCGCTCCGTCACAGCCGGTCCGGTACCGGCGGACGCGGGGCTCGGTTCGTGCGTGCGCGCGCGCGCGTGCGTGTCAGGCGAGCCGCGCTGAAACCGACCGGGTCGCAGTTGTATTCCTTCATGTGAGTAAAGAGTCCGGTCACACGCCGAACTCCAGTCAACCACCCGCCGCTTTTATGTCCTCTGGCGTCCCCCGTGGCGGTGCCCTCCACGGGGGACGTCTCCGCTTAGCGGGCGCGGTCCGCTGGGAGGTTGCTCCTCGTTCGGCATACGTGGGAGTAATAAAGGCCACCGCGGTCGCGGTAAACACTCGCATTTGTGGCCTGATTCGCGCTGTGTTCCACGGAGGTGAAATATTCGGGGACGTCACGTGGACCCGACGTGTTTAAGGACCCTCGGCGTGGAGCTGCAGCGGAATCGCAGAGCTCCTCGAATGCGAGAGAACCTGCGCGTCGCAACGTCACGCGAGCGGTGTTTTCGGGTAGAAAAGCAAACATTAAAATGAGGCGATGTTTCAAGGGAAGTCTGGCGTGGTGCACATCAGGCGAGAGACCGGAGCTATGACATCATTGCGAGGGCTTTCCCATCAGCAAACGGTTGCTTTACCCCCATCACGGATTCCCTGTTCAAGCCCTTCATGTATTTTCTCCTGCATTCTGATTTCACTCTGCAAACCGTGCATGTAAATAGTGGGATCTTCTTGTGTTGTGGTCCCATCTTGCCATTACGGTGGAGCGTGCAGGAAGCTGCTCCACCCATCATGCATTATTCCTGAGTCTTCTGTGTTTCACATGGGTTCTGGTGCATTTTGTATTGTTCATAATCCGTCAGTAACAGTGACAGCAGCTCTGGTCCCCCTCCCAGTGCTCCCACTGGTGACCCCCACGCCGCCCCCCACCCCGGTGTTTCCATTCACACACATTTAATTCAGCATTAACAGATAGACGTGCTCATAATCTGCTGCGCTGACATCGGAGAGGCGGTTGAGATTAGATTAGTAGTCCATGGTAATTAAGTTATCTGGGCACATTCTCTCCCGATCCCTATCGCAGCAGAGACCCCTTCGCGTCCTTCCTCGTCTCCTCGCCGCTGATCCCTCCTCTGTGCTCGTGCTCACCTGTCTGCTGGGGTCGTCGTGGCGCAGGGGTTAGAGAAGGTGTGCTGGGAAGCACAAGGTTGTGGGTTCGATTCCAGACTGCCCCATGTTCCATGTTGAAGTGTCCCTGAGCAAGACACCTAACCCCTAATTGCTCCCTGGGCAAAATGTGAAAAAGCCATGGGTTTAAAGTGTAATGTAAGTCGCTTTGGATGAAAAGCGTCTCCTAAATGACCTGTAATGTAATGTAATGTAATGCTGCTTTGAGGTCGGAGGTCACCGTGTTGTTGCGTTGTCTTACAGCGTGGAATGAGATGTTTGTTCATTCTGCCCGGAACCAGGACGCCACGAAGGAAAAGTCGAATAACAAATAACAGTGCAGCGTTCTTTTGATTTGATTTGTGAGGAGACGAGTAAGGAGAAGTCCTCTGCAGTCCTTATCGCAGATTCAGATAGAGATACAGATGTTACTTTGTGTCATAAAGTAGTAAATCACCGCTTAATGACGTCTGTTGTTGCTTTAGGACGATGTCACGGCGACTATCAGCGCATCGTAGAATCACTGATTTATTCAGTAAACATTGTAAACATGAGTTTATGGTCTCAAGTCTTCTTCAATACAGACGATGTTCATTTAGTGACTGATGGTCCATTTAGAGTCAAACAGACCATAAAGCAGGGGACGCTTTAGGGCGGGGCTACACGCTGATTGACAGTTTGAGTTCTTATATGGCCACCTGTTCGTCGCATGAAATCCAAGACAGCGAAATGAAAATGCCGAGTTCAAAAAGTTTGTCCACCAGAGCTTTATGGCGTCGTGACGAGTGCGTCCACTTCCTGGCGCCGGTCAGGGGGTTTTGTCTTGGTTTGAGATTCATTTTATCTGCTTTGTCCCCCCTCAGACACGGAGAGCTTCGTCAATGGGAACCACCGGGCCGGTCCGGCCCCGCCCCCCCCGGCTCCCGGAGCCAGAGCCCAGTCGGAGCACAGCGCCATCGTCAGCTCCATCGAGAGAGACCTCCAGGACATCATGGACTCGCTAGCGATGGACGACCCCCAGCCGTCGAAGCCCCCCCCGCGCTCCTCCCTCTTGTCGCCCGTGCTCAACGGCGGGGGGCGGTACCTGCTGTCCCCGCCCGCCAGCCCCGGGGCCATGTCCGTGGGGTCCAGCTATGAGAACGCATCCCCGCCCTTCTCGCCGCTGTCCTCACCTTCGGGGGCCAGCAGCGGGGGGTTCACCAGCCCGTCCCCCGGCGGCCCCCAGGAGCAGAGCTTGTCTCAGCCGCCGGTGCCCTTGCGCTCCTCCAGCTACAACTTCACCGCGCAGCCGCCGCCCATGCCCCATCCGCGGAGCGCCCTGAAGGTCCAAGAGAGCCCCAGGCTGCAGAGGAGGGTCATGAAAGAGGCCCCTCAGAGCCCCAAGCCGGGCCGCAGGGGCCTCGGCCAAGAGGGGCCCGAGAGCCCCCGGCTTCTGTCCTCCAGCGAGTCGCTGAGCGGCAGAACCGCCGCGCTGAGCAGCCCCCGCCCCGCCATCAAGTTCCCCGCCTGCCCGTCCCCCCCCGGTCACAGGACCAAGACCGCCACGGTGCTCCAGGAGAGGCCAGCCAGCCCCTTCAGAGACTGGACCGGCCCGGCCGACTGCCCCCCCGGGCAGCTCTCCCACCCCTCCAGAGCCTTCCAGCCCCCCCTGGACCCCATCGTCCACATCATCCAGGGATCTCCGCTCCAGCAGCAGCAGCCCCCCCGCCTGCTGCAACCCCCCGAGAGCCCCCGCACGCCCCGCAAAAACACGGAGCTCAACGGCGGCGGCATGAGGGAGCTGCCCCCCCTCAGCCCCTCCATGGCCCGCAGGGGGGTCCCGGGAGCGCTGCCCACCCTGAGGACTCCAGACAGTCCCTCCAGTTTGGGCAAGTTCCTGATCCCAGAGAGTCCCAGGCTCCGGCGCAGGGCCGGCTCCGCCTCTGAGGAGCCGGCGGGGGGCCGGGGGGTCCTCGCGCGCAGCCCGTCGCCGACGATGGAGGTCGGCGGGGGGGGCGGAGCCCGCAAGGCCAGCTTGGGGAATTCCCTGTCGCCCGCCTACAGCCTGGGCTCACTGCCCGGCTCCTCGCCCGCGGCGAGCCCCCGGAGCCGCAGGAAGGCGTCCGGTGGGAGGCCGCACCCCCCCATGAGGGAGAGAAAGAACAGCATCTCGGAGATCAGCGACAACGAGGACGAGCTGCTGGAGTACCACCGGCGGCAGAGGGAGGAGCGGCTCCGGGAGCAGGAGATGGAGAGGCTGGTGAGTCGCCCCCGGGGGTTCTGGGTAATGAAGTTCATGCTTGAGAGGTCACTTGTGTTAATTAGCTTGATATTATCATTCCACTCACAGTACTGACGGCTCGTCAACGAATCAAACAGGAGGTTCTGAAAACTGAATGAGAGAGACGTGATGCGTTTGACCTGTCAATCAGCGTGTAGCTCCGCCCTAAAGCCTCCCCTGCTTTAATGTCTGTTTGACTCTAAATGGTGTGTGCGTGTGTGCGTGTGTGTGTGTGTCTGCAGTGTGCGTGCGTGCGTGTGCGCGCCCCTCTGCAGGACTCCAGGCTGCAGTACCCCCTCCTCTCCACCAGGGGGGGCGCTCTCACTGCTTAAAGCTCCGACAGCAAATCAACCAAAATACACAAAGTGTTTTGAAACATTTGACGACATCGAGCTGATGTTGCAGCATTTGTTTGTGTTGTAACTATTCATTCATAATGTCTTATTTATTCGTCTGACGCTAAACGCTGCTCGTAATCAACACAACGGCAGCACAAACCTAAAAACACATATTGGTACCGGTTCCTATACGACCGAAACGCAACTCAGATTTCGGTGCCTGAGCCGATTGAAAAACTTTATTTACACACTCTGATGACTCCGTCCTCGCAGCAGCTACAGCAGCTAGCTAGCCATCTAGCTTCTATTTATATTTATTTAAGTCAGTGTTTCCCTCCTCCTGAGTTCATGGTCTCAATGTCAAGTCTTCTTCAACACAACTTGATGTTCATTTAGTGAATGATGGTCCATTTAGAGTCAAACAGACCATAAAGCGGGGGATGCATTAGGGCGGGGCTACACGCTGATTGACAGGTCTCTAGTCCTTATAAGGTCACTTCCTGTTCATTAGTTGAAAAGAAACAAGACCGCTACAGAAAAATTTGACTTGAGTCTTCATAACGTCCACAAAACAGGAGAGAGTTCGATTGATTGATCAATAACCCAGAGACGCCGTGCGTCCTCAGGAGAGACAGCGTTTGGAGACGATCCTCCACCTGTGTGCCGAGTACAACAAGGGAGAGACCTCCTGCGACCCTCTGCCCTCCGGTAGCACCGGTTTCCCCGGCGGGCCGTCCAACGACAACGCCATAGGAGGCCCCGCCTCCTCCGCGGCGGGGGGGCTGCACCTCCTGCAGAGGCAGCGGGAGAGCGACGAGGAGAACCTGAAGGAGGAGTGCAGCAGTACGGAGAGCACCCATCAGGAGGTGAGGACGTCGGCGCTGCACGCCAAAGACGGACAGGTCAGAGGCCCCCGCTCGCCGGCTCTAAGCAGCATGTGCTTCTGCTGAGTGTGCGCTTCGTACCGGGGCCTTCAGGGACCGTTGGTTCATGCAGCTTTAAACCGCTCTGTGCACCACAGACTGCACCACGCAATGCATCATGGGATAAGTGCTCTGCTCAGTGGTTTTCTGCTTTTTGCGCTTTCATTTCCCCCCTCCTCCTCCACCCTCGCCTCCTTATCAACTACCTTCTCACCTCCTGCCTCACGTCCTCCTTACCTCTTACTTCCCTCCCACCTCCACCTCCTCTCTCCTCACCTCCTTCCTTCTCACCTTCTCACCCCCTGTCTCCTCACCCCCTGCCTCCTCTCTCCCTGCAGCACGAGGACTCCTCCGGTCTGGAGCTGAGCTACCTGGAGGAGGAGCGCGTTCGGGTCCTCGCTCGGATCGACGAACTCAAGAGCCGACTGACGGAGCTGGAGCAGCAACTCCAGGAGGCCAAGCAAGAGGTGGAGAAGGGAGAGCGGCCATGTTGCTTCACCCACATTTAGACGTTTCCCCAGCAGCAGTACAAGATGAAAGCTACGGGGGGGGTTTGTGGGGGGGGGGGGTCACTACCTTGTGTTCTGAGCGAGATTGTTCATGTCTACGCTAACAACGCTAACAAAGACGAATCCTGACCTCATCGACGCTGGAGAGAACACGATTTGGATCAGAACTGTTTCCTCGCCTCACTGTCCCGCCCCCTGCTCCCCCAGGCGGAGATGGAGCGTGCCTTGCTCCAGGGCGAGAGGCAGGCGGAGCTCGACCAGATCGAGGCCGAAACCGACATCATCACCCAGCTGCAGCGCAAGCTGGACGAGCTGGAGAGCGCCATCCAGAGGGAGAAGGAGAAGGTAGGGGGGGTGTTACCACAAGTCATTCATGATCACAATATGGTCACAGGTTGAATCCTCGTAGTGGAACCGGGTTCCTTTGTTGCCCGTGTTGCTCTTTAGTGGTCTACTCTCATCCGGTTCCTCCTCAGCTGGACTCCACTAACCAACCAACAGCCTCTAACTCCTAACTAACCCTCTGTAGTCGTTAGTCACGACATCACATTTCTGTTGTGCGATTATTGCACCAACATTTATTGCGATATGCGATATTTCAATTTTCAGAGCATTTTATGCCACTGATAACATGACAATATAATAGTATAGTAATAAAAGTACGTTTTATTTGTGAGAATATTTAGACATTATAAAAAATATATCCTATTATTAAAAAATGTAGCTTCGTTAGCTTCGTTAGCTCCGTTGTGTTCACTGCTTCTCGTCACCTGTCGGTGTCGCTCTGTGTGCGCTGCCTAAGCCCCGCCCCCCTTTCCACAGGGAAAAGGGACAGAGGATCAACTTAAATGTTGGTGACGTTCATTTATATGTAAATCGCAGCACCAAAAATGGTCGTGTAAGTGTGCGAAGTGTCATTTAATCGCATATTGCGACGGCCCTACTTGTAGTCTTTGGTTTCATAGTCTGTGGTCGTAGTCTTTGGCTCTGTAGACTGTTCAGCAGTCACAGTTTAATTTAGTTAAATATTTAATTACAAAGAAATGAAAACATGAATTCATTATTAAAATAATGATTTATTATGATATATTTATTTATATAAGCTTTGTGTTATGTATTGTCACTCATGACGGAGTTATTGGAGGGAACCGTAACCAGGAGCAGCTTCCTCCTCCTCCCTCATCCACTAACACCTCACGGCTCTGTTTGCACGGCGTGGATTTTCAGACGTGTGTGTGTGTGTGTGTGTTTCTAGGAGAGGGCTAATGTTGAGGCCGAGCGTCGGGCCCTACGGGGCCTCCAGGAGGTCTACGCTGAGTTGGAGAACCAGCTGCATAACTGTCCTGAGTCCCTGCGGGAACAGTTGCAGGAGCAGCTCAAAAGGGTACGGACCCCCGTCTGCTGGAGCCCCGACCATCGCCATCGTACCAATGACCTCTCGCTCCAAGCTGCAGGGGCAGGAACCATGTTTAGTGTCCAGCAACTATTTGGAATCTTTTAATTTATAAATGTAGAGAAAAGAGCCGAATACACAGCTAGCATGAGAGCTAGCGTTAGCTAGCATGAGAGCTACGGTTAGCTAGCTGAGACGGCTCGATATTTCTACTTTGGGCATTTTTAGACTTTGTACAAGTTCAATAATCTATGCAAATAGAACGATTTAACAGACTATTGATGCTGTCGCGCCGCTCTGCATGTCTCTTCCCCTCGTGTAACTGCTCACTAATCAACTAACGCAGCTCCATTCTCTCTGAGTGAATGTTCGCTCGGGACCTTAGCGGTTTGTTTCCACGGTGCACTGTGTAATATTCATCTTCATCTTCTGGGGTCAGACCCTCAGGTCGGCTCTGCCTGCTCTCTCCTCCACGTACCAGCGGTTTCCCCCGTTTGTTCCACTTTGGATTTACTCCAACAAACGTCCTCTGGGTGTCTGTGATGTGATCGCTGATGATGATGTCGTCCCCATCAGGACGGAGACGCGTTGGAAACGGGAACCAAGAAGTTTGAGGACCTGGAGTTCCAGCAGCTGGAGAGAGAGAGCAGCCTGGAGGAGGAGAGAGAGACCATCAGCCAGCAGCTGCTGCAGGAGAGAGCCGAGTACCACGGCAGCGTGTCCCGCAGGAAGGTGAGGACGGCCCGGCTCGACCCCGAGGGTCAGAGACACGGAGGCGTCTCTGCGTCTGCAGAGCAGCAATAAACAATATGAGCAAAAACAGTGAAAGGCAAACGGATAAAAGATCCCACACAGGTGACTTAACTCAGCCAAAGGTGAACACGTGGGTCTCAAGGCGAGTTTTAAAAGTAGAAAGGTCGCAGAACGCACAGGAAACAGCAAAGCGTTCCACAGTGTGGGAGCCGCTACTGCGAAGGTTCTGTCATGACCCGGCTCCGTCTGCTTTGGTTTTAAGGAACGTTCCGAAGCAGCTGGTCAGCTGACCTCAGGGAGGGTTGATTAATGAATGTTCTGGGACCGGTCCATGCAGAGACTTAAAAACACATGAAAGATTCTTAAAATCTATTGTGAACCCAACGGGACGCCGGTGGAGAGGAACGCACCGTGTTTCTTTGTCCCGTCAGGAGACGGGCCGCTGCATTCTGCACCAGCTGCAGACGGTTGAGTTCTGATCGGCCGATACCGACATACAGGGAGTCCAAACGAGAAGATATAAAAGCATGCACGACTTTTTCAAGATCAGCCCTTTTTTTAGATCGGGTTTGACTTTGGCCAGAAGCCGAAGCTGGAAGAAGCGAGCCTTCACCACAGAGCTGACCTGCTGGTCCAACTTAAAGGTTTGTGGCCTGGGAGCCTGTGTAAGGTGCTAGTGGGCCAAGGGAGCCGGCGAGGACCTGGACCAAGTCTAGTGTTTTGTTTTCATTTAGTCTTAAATGAAATTGCACTTGCACTCATTTCTTGTTCTTCTGAGTTTGCGTCCTTATGGTTGAATCCACTTATTGAAAGTCGCTTTGGATAAAAGCTTCACAAATCATCTGGAGGGATTATCTTCTCACTACCTTCTTGTCCCCTGTCCGTAAGTCGTCCGCACAGCAGTGGGAGCCTTTTTCTTCCCTCTCATGGCCCCTCTGGGCCTCCGTAGCACCGCTCTGCACTGACTGCTCTCCCTCCTCCTGCAGGAGAAGGTGTCGGCTCTGGAGAACCAGGCCGGCCAGCTGGGCCTGCAGGCCACCCAGGAGTACGAGCGGCTGGCCGGCGACCGCGGCCTCGCGCTGCAGATGCTGCACAAGGTGCACAACACAACAACACCACAACACACGCGCTGAGTCACCGAGGCGCTTTGACCCACACTAACATCCAGTCTTCATGTTCCAGGAGAAGGAGCGGCTCTCGGCCCTGGAGAAGAGGTACCACGGCCTGACGGGGGGGAGGAGCTTCCCCAAGTCCTCCACTGCCATGAGAGAGGTGAGAGAACCTCCCCCCTCTAGTTCTAACCTGATGTAAAGATCTCCCCTAGCTTCCTTTCCTAACCACTTCTCCTCGATCTCAGAGGAAAACACAAGGAACAAGGAAAGGTGTGAAGGAGGGTTCATGAGGAGACGCATTAAAGTCACGTTTGTTTGTTCGTTTACCGCTCCTTGCTTCCCATTGGCTGCCGCTCAGTAAGCAGGTTCCACCAAAACAGAAGCCCCGCCTCTCGTCCCGCCGTGTTAGCTGGCGAGCTACGTCACTTCCCGTCTGGCTTTATTCTCACTGCCTGTCTCTCTCCTTGCTGCCTGTCTGTCCCCCGTTGCCATGGCGAAGGAGTATGTGACAGTGGGAGAGTTGAGTCCGATGTACGGGATGCCGAAGGTGGAGTCGTCCCCAACGTCCCCGCTACGCCAGCCCCTGCAGTCCGGAGTGGGAGACCCTGTCTTCTCCCACCTCCCCTCCCCCCACGGCTCCTCCCTCTCTCTGTTGATGGAGGTGTGTGCTTCCTTGCTTCCTTCCTTCCTTCCTTCCTTCCTTCCTTCCTTCTGCGCCTCTTTCCTTTATGTCATAAATAATAGTACAAATAGATTTGATGTGTATTTTATTCATTGTATATAAATCTAATATTTATTATGATGATAATTAATATTTATTAATAAAAGGCTACAGATCTTCACCTGCGTCATACTAACTCATAACGTATGAAGCTGACTGCAGTTTTAGAGGAATTAGATCGATTAGCATTAAATAAAAAGCTTGGTTAGAACACACTAATGTCTCTGAATGCTTTCTAACTTCTGGTCTCTGTCCCCGTCTGCTGGTCTCTCCAGTACCCGTCTGAGGGCAGTAGGCCCCCCCTCCCCAAGCTAGACTTAGAGCAGTGGTACCAGGAGCTGATGTCCGGCTCCGGTCCGCTCGGACCCCCCTCCCTGCCGGCCACGGCGCTGTCGGGTCGCAGACCCGCGCTGCAGGTAGAGGGTCTACTTTCTGCTCTGTGTGTGTTAGAACTGGTCCTCAACCAGTCTCTGTGTAGTCCTGATCCTCTGTGTGAACCAGACCTAGTTTAGTCCTGAGCCCCGGTCGGGTTGACATCATGCAGGTTCACCAGAACGTCCTTCAGCTCAGACTCTAGCAGAGACCAGTGCTGGAGCCACTGGAGGGAAGGGGGTCCGGGAGAACCAGGACTCAGCCTCTAAACCCTGGTGATCGTCTGAAGAAGCCTCAGTGAGAAGAACTTCCCGAGGATGTTTAAGGGAGAAGCCTTTGATCTCTAAGTGTTCGCCGCCGGCTGCTTAAGAATTCCCTGACGTGTTTCTAGAAGGTTCTACGTAACCATTTTCCTCAGAACCCGTTTGTTTGAAGGGAAGTACGAGGCTGAACTATCATAAAAATATCTCCGTCATGTGGAATTATATTAAATCATCCTCGGTCCAGACGCTGGAGGACGAGGGGACCACTACTCCTCTCTGAGGGTATCCAAGGTATCCGTCCTCCATGAGCCCCTTTAGCATAGGAAACACTCCTTTCCTCTAGGAAAGGAAAGGAGATTATTCTGTCCCACAATTCCTTGCGGCTGGAACGTTTAAAGTGTCGCGGGAACAAAAGATGCGTTTCTCTTCTACAGGTTTAATGATTGTTCCTCCTCATGAACTCCTTCACTTCTTTCCTTGAGCCTGTGATGTCTTGCTCAGAGGTCGAGGAAGGACGCTGGGGGGGGGAGACGAGAAACAAGCTGCATGCTGGGACTTTTAGTCGTCGTCGTTCGTTCGTTCGTCATAAAACTGACCAATCGCACGGAGGAAGAGACCGCTTGATTGACAAGTCAGACCCCCTGAATGCCAACACGCGACCTACGACCTACGAGTGCTTCATGGTGATGGCTTCACGCTCTTGCCCCCCCCCCCAGGTGTTCCGCTCCAAGCTGGACAGCGAGCCGTCCCCCCCCCTCCACGGGCCCCGGTCTGGCTCTGCGTCGCCTCTTCAGCACGGAGCAGCGACGCTGGGACGCACCTGCAGCCCAAAGGTACGGCGCCGCGTGCCCCCCCCCCCCCCCCCCCCACTGTGGTCCATCCTTCACTGTGTGTTGTCGTTGATTTAACATCTGGACCCGGCAGAGCCCCCTGCTGGCGGCCAACAGCACCGGCAGTCTGCCCAGGAACCTGGCGGCCACCCTGCAGGACATCGAGGCCAAGAGACAGATCGCTCTGCAGCAGAAGGGTAAAAGAAACGGATCCACTTCAGACCCCCGGGGGCCGCTAGACCGTAGTGACTGCCACTGATCCCCCCCCTCCCGCCCCCCGCAGGGCACCAGGTGATCGAGGAGCAGCGGCGCCGTCTGGCCGAGCTCAAGCAGCGAGCGGCGGTGGAGGCCCAGTGTCAGTGGGAGGCGCTCCGAGGCTCCCAGTCCCAACTGGTGGCGTCGTCCACCTCGCCGCCCTCCTACTCCCCCGGCGCCGCCTACGGCTTCGGCCCCCCACCCCTGGTCCACCACTCCATCCTGCACCACCAGCCGCCGGCGGCTGGCGAGCAGCCGTACGACACGCTGAGCCTGGAGAGCTCGGACAGCATGGACACCAGCGTGTCCACGGGGAACAACTCGGCCTGCTCGCCCGACTACATGTCCAGGTACATGTCAATGTCCATGTCCAGGTACATGTCAATGTCCAGCTACATGTCCAGGTACATGTCAATGTCCAGCTACATGTCAATGTCCAGCTACATGTCCAGGTACATGTCAATGTCCAGGTACATGTCAATGTCCAGCTACATGTCAATGTCCAGCTACGTGTCCAGGTACATGTCAATGTCCATGTCCAGGTACATGTCAATGTCCAGGTACATGTCAATGTCCAGGTACATGTCAATGTCCAGCTACGTGTCCAGGTACATGTCCAGGTACATGTCAATGTCAATGTCCAGCTACGTGTCCAGGTACATGTCCAGGTACATGTCAATGTCCATGTCCAGGTACATGTCAATGTCCAGGTACATGTCAGTGTCCAGATATGCAGATGAGGCATCATGTAATGGGGACATGACGATGAATTTAAGGGTAACTCTCCAAACAGACAAACAGTGAGGTGTAGAAGGTGTGTCTCAGGATACCTGTGAGGTCACGACCTTGATGACGTCACCTTGTGTTGTTTGACTTCAGTGTTGGAGGAGCGGACGCCGCAAAGATCGAGGAGATGGAGAAGATGCTGCGGGAGGCGCAGATGGAGAAGGCCCGACTCATTGAATCGCGGGTGAGACTCTTGAGAGGGATTTTTATTACTTGTTTCCTTGATTCCTCTGTCCTCGCTCCAGAAGGAGACACTTGAGATTTAATGAGTGAGCAATGAAGTTATTGTGTCCTCTGATGGTTCTCAGGACCAAAACGTCACTTTCCTGGTTAGGAATCCATAAAAACGTCTCTGATTGTGTACTCCTTCTCCTCCAGGAGCGAGAGACGGTGGCTCGCCGCCACATGCTGGAGGAGGAGCGCCGGAGGAGGGAGGACGCGGAGAAGAGGCTGCAGGAGGAGACCTTCCATCGTCAGCAGCTAGTGGATAAAGAGGTGAAGATGAGAGCCAAGAACTTCTCCCAGGTCAGTGATGGATACCAGTGAGGGGGGGGGGTCATATATATATATATATATATATATTTGTATAGATGTGTATGTGAATATCCATCCCGACCCCCCAGGCCCGTCCCATGACGCGCTACCTGCCCATCAGGAAGGAGGAGTTCGACCTGCGCTCTCACGTGGAGTCGTCCGGTCACAGCGTGGAGACCTGCTACCACGTCCTCCTCAACGAGAAGGTGTGTCGGGGCTACCTGGTGAAGATGGGGGGCAAGATCAAGTCCTGGAAGAAGCGCTGGTTCGTGTTCGACCGCCTCAAGAGGACCTTCTCCTACTACGTCGGTGAGAAGATCAGTAATCAGTAATCGCCACGGTAACGTGTCGCTTCAGTGATGTCACGGCGCGTTTTCATCTTTCCAACTGTCCGTGAACGCATCAAACAAACCAGATCAAAGCTTGAAATTGTGACATTTTATGAAAAACAAATTCCCTATTTAAAAGCTCAGATTTAAGTTCGCTGACTCAAATGCTGTAAATATAGATTTATATATTTTGTCATGTGGATTTTGTTCCCACAGAGATTTGGGAATTTTTTTACAGCCCAAAAAAAAAAGAAGAAAAAAACCCTGTTTGAGTTCAGTGTTGAAGCGTCGAGTGGCAGGCGGAGCGCGACCTTGAGCCATTTGATCCGGAGGCTCGCAGCGACGCTTTGAAGTCCTCCTGGAGGTTCTGCTCAAAGCCGCTAAGAGAGGGGGGGGGGAGGAGGAGGGGGGAGGAGGAGGAGGAGGAGAGACGGAGAAAGAGGAGCATGATCTCTCTCTCTCTCTCGCTGAAAAACACTCGCCTGGTGACCTTGAGTGACGGGATGCTAATCCTCCCTAATGCTAATTCATGCTAATGAGCAAACAACGCTACGCTAACTGTTGTTTGGATGCTAAAGAGGTCGTTAGCAGATGATGGGAAAATAAAGTGTTGTTCTTAGAAATAAAGACTTTGTAAACCTTCTACTCTTGTTGGGTGTGGGAGTGTTTGTGCCCGGGGGGAGAGAGAGAGAGGGGGAGGGAGGGAGGGAGGGAGAGATGATGAAACAAAGTGTAAGGATGTTCCATCGTGTCGTCAGACAGAAATCAGCGAGTCTGAAACAGTCAGAGTCCGTCAGTTTATTCATTTTTTATTTCTTGTTTTTTAAAGAAGCCCCTCGTTCGTCCTCAGATTGAAAGTTTGTGCTGCTCCTTTAACGCCGCGTTTCCTCCCCAGACAAACACGAGTCCAAGCTGAAGGGGGTGATCTACTTCCAGGCAATAGAGGAGGTCTACTACGACCACCTCCGCAGCGCCACCAAGGTACACGCCTCCGCTCTTCCTCCTCTTCTCCTCTTCTCGCTTTCTCCCTTTGGCTTCCTTTTTTTTGTTGCTTCTTTTCTCTTTAATTTCTCCGTTCTGTGCTCTTTGCTGCCGTCACAGAGGGGATTTTTCAACCTGAACGTGAGCAGTGTATGTATCACTGCATGGTGGAGACCTTGCTGGTTGAGTTGATGATCCTGCCTGATCCCCTCCCCCGTCTAATAGCCTTTATTGTTCGTCTCTCATTAACATATTTAAATAAGCCTTTGTTTCAAGAAGAGAAATAAACTGGTGTTCTGGTTAAATGGAGAAAACAGGTGTTACGGGTTAGTTTTTTTTGGGGGGGGGATTCATGGAATCTGTGCAGCTTTATTATTTATTGATCAGCTCTTCAGAGTATTTTTATATATCAGCCACTAAACATAGTAAATAAATACATTCAAAGACCAAAAAAAACGAGCTCTAACATCTAAATGAAACCAGGTTAAATAGATTTATATGGATGCACATCAAAGATCTATGACCCCACATACCTGAGTCTCTGCCCCCCCCCCTCAGAGCCCGAACCCCTCCCTGACCTTCTGCGTGAAGACCCACGACCGGCTCTACTACATGGTGGCGCCCGCCGCCGACGCCATGCGCATCTGGATGGACGTGATCGTGACCGGAGCCGAGGGGTACACGCAGTTCATGAACTGACCCCCCCTCCCCTCCCCATGGGGGGGCACACAGCGCCTTTATTTTGTTACGGTTACTTTTCAAATCTCACACTTTGATGTTTTTGTCTCCACATTTTCTATGTGATTGGATTGAAAAAGGGAGACAACACACATCTGTATATAAACCAAAATGTATAACTGTCAAAGACTTTTAAAAAGCTTTTCTATATTTGCCAAATGGAGATCCTTTAGTCACCGTTTGTTCAACCTTTTTATATTGTTTCCTTTTTTTTTTTTTACTTGGAGAAAATTGCCAAATGACATGATGCCAATGTTTAGTTTTGACTGTTAAGTTCAGACAGTTCCAATCAAGTTGTACGATTGAGAAATATATTTGAAATGGACTTTTAAAATGTGTGAGAAGAGGAACAATAGAAACCGACTGAGGTCCACGTCGCCTCCCTGCTGCTCTCTGACCTGCAGGACTCTCCTGCGTCGTGTTGCGTTCACGCCGGTTCACCAAAGCGCCACCGCGGCCACATCGCCGGCTTGTTGTGCTCAGTTTTCACTGTTACGTGAAAAGACTCATTTTATGAATGAATAAATCCGCGTGACCCGACATCGTACTAAATAGCGCAAAGGAGACGGTTAGCTTAGCATAAAGACTGGAATATAAAGCTCTGTAATAAAAATGTCATTTGTTTGAACTAATAATGACGAGTTGTGATTTAGTTGGCGGTTTTGTGTTGAGGTGATGTGTCTCCCTTTATGCTAAGCTAACAGTGTCCTCGCTATAGCTGCTTTTGCGCCAAGAGTTGAATATAGCAGCAATACCACTCTTATTTAATGCTAAATATTAAGCTAGAGCCTTTGGACAGCTAGTTTAGACTTCATTTAGGGACGTAGCTTTGTCTTCTAGCTAAAGCCGCTGCTTTTCCCTCCTAGTAAACCGTAGACATGGTATTGACCTTGAATCCTTCTAGCATAACGTTAGCACTAGGCTAACCAAATATCAGGACGGTGTTGCTTTGGGGATTACGCGGTTTGATTGCTAGCACTATTGAATTATATTTAGTTTTTCAACAGTACGCAACTTTATCGCGGATCAGTCGGGCAGACGTGACGTTGGCGCTCTGTCAGTCGCGGACTAGAAACGTCTGTAAGAGTCGCAGCTCCGGTCGTATTGACCGAAGCGGTTTCCATCAACAAGACTCTTCCAGGTACGAGCGAGCGCTCCGCCTCGCTGTCCCCACGGAAACGGTTAAAAACGTTGATTCCAAAAAACACATGAAAATGGAAGTTAATGGTAACAATTGTTTTTCTCTTTAGGAAGTGACCCTTGTTTCCTTTAGGTTCGTGCTAAGCTAGGGGCTAAGCTAGGGTTGGCAAGCAAAACATTACCTGCCAATAAAACTAGCGGGTTCTCCGGGTCCGCCGGCGCCCACGTTCAGACCGCCGAGTACCAACAGGACATTAAAGCCAAGTCGACTTCACAGCGTCAGGCCGCTAACCACCAGATGGCAAACGGGCTGAACTGGTCAGCCAGCGCAGGACGGCTACAACACGCTAATCCACAAAGTAACCACATTTACCAATTGAAGGATGCCGAAATAACGACACGATACAGATTTACAAATAGTCTGATTGCTCGTCTTTCTGATAAAGGTGAAGCACAGACGGCCCATGTTTACTGAATGGAGCGTAAATAGGTCAATGCTAGGCTACGCTAATGTAGCAACTCAAGAAAAAAGACTGAGGGCAACAACAAAAAAATAATCACATTTCTCAAAGTCTTAATTTTAGATGTCAAAATAAATATGATGCCAATTACTCTTTGGAAGTTTGGTACAATATACACGTACATAAATGTGGTCGTTCGCCTTATTACTTCGATGTATGTTTTCTGAATTGTGACTCCCGACTGCGCCGGTGAACTGACAGTATTGATCGGTCGTTGTTTTATCAGAAGCGGAGGACGACACTAATATTCTGAGCATGTGGAAGTGTTGGTACAGTAATTATTATTTATGGTTGTGGTGCCTGAGATAGTGACATGTTTACTTCTTTAAAAAAAAGTTAAAAAACAACGTTAATATATTCTGCCCCCCAAAACCAAACTATTGAACACTGGCAAGGCTGTTAAATCGTTACCGTGGTGATCTGTGTCGAAGAAAAGGGAACTTAAATGTACTGAAAAAGAGGCTGCCTGGATGAAAAAAAGAATCACTGTGCTATTGAAATGAAACAGTATTGTATTAAAAGAGAAACAAATCATACTTATTTTTGTCATTGTGTGTCACGGTACATTTCAAATGGTATGGTAGTGATGCATCAATCTACCTTTGTTTTTTTTAAAGTGGTACAACACACGACTTGTTTTATTCCTAGAAGGTAGATCCTGTCACACAATACTGGACCAGACTGTGTGTGCGGTTCCCCGTATGAATAACGTGGACTTTGTCAAATCTATTAAAGAGAAACAAAACATTTTCTGCTTCGTGATGTTTTAACGTTTATGAAAAGCAATGCAAAAGAAGGAATATGCTTCTAAAAAGTGCAATTAAAAAAAAAAAAAAAAATCAAGAGAAAGCACATCTGGAAGTTTTCGTTCTTCTGGGAGATTCGCTCAGGTTTCTACAGCTCGTTCACTGCGTCGTCTGCAAGCACAACGGTCAAAACTTTACATTTACGACAAATATTCACTGTAAATATTAGTTTGCTTGTGATGCTGGACAGTAAAACAGGATAAATTGAACCACAGATTTTTACTCTGATTTGACAGCTCGTCCGACGTTTTGGGCAAATTCGTTATTCCTGTCATGCTTAGTACATTAATGCTAACGTATGTTAGCATTAGCTCTATATGGGCAGACAGCAGTTGCCTGGCTTCCATTTGGGAAGCAGTACTTTGGAGTAGGTGGAGTCCTACTTACACTCGGCACAGGGGGAAGTGTAGTCAGCGACGGCTTCATCGCCTGGAAACAAAACCACTCACATCAGATAAGCAGGAAGTACCAGTACACGGCCGTCTCTGCCGGCCGAAACATCAGAATATCAGTTTTTTTCAAAATATATTTTCCCACAAATATGTATTAAATTATTCCCCACAGTAAGAGTTATACTCTTCATTTCATCGCTTTCCTCTTGCACTGCCTCCAGCCCCACGTTGAGATTTGGAGGGCCGATCTTTTATCCAATCATATTCAGCCCTCATCTGTTGCCAGGGGTCTAAAATCTGCCCTCAGCTTGTAGCTTAAAGTGAATGGTTGACACTACATTTTCATTTCCAATCAGCTTTAGAGTTGGCTATTGTAGCATGCTAGCTAGCTCCAGCGTTACACAGGAGCCAGCTAGCAGGCGTAGTGCGTCTTTTGATTGATTGGATCTTTTGATTCAATCAAAAGATTCAAATGGATTGCTGGGAATGCCTGTTATTTACAAGAGATCGATTTGGTGTTTGGAGCCACACTGGCTGTGAGTTCTCTAACAAAAGGCAGCAACGAGACACCAAAGTACGGCTGGACACTAACAAGCAACGGTAGAGCCATTGCATCGTAATGATGTGGATTCATTCGGGTGGGACTGTAGGACCCCACTGAAGGTCCAGGCCCACGGCACCAAACCTTAAATATTTTACAGCAGGAAACTAACTGACGGGCGGGAAAAATCCCAACGTAAGCTCAGAAGTCTGCAGAAAGAATGTAAGCGAGTTTCCTCCCCCAATATTCAGTAAAATAATCATTGATGTTTCTCTGGTCATGTGACCACAAACAACCAATCAGGGCTTCGATCAACATGAGGCGTTAGCAGCATTGCTAACTTCTAACCCACAGAGGTTCCCTCATGATGCGTTCAGGCTCTGCTCGGTGAACATGAGAACTTTAACGTTAAGTTGTGTTCATGGGTAATCTGTAAATTGGAGCATTGGTGATACTAGAATGAATCCAGTTGTTTTTACATGAATATAAAATAGATATTGAGATGAATTGTGATCGGTTTAACGTACTAACAGAGCTCGAGAACATCGTTAAACATCTTACTGGTCTGGTAGTAGTCGTAGACTTTGACCACAGCTGGTTTCAGGTTCCTCACAGCGACGTCCTCCTCCACGGTCACGCTGAGGACCTTCGTCTCGTCCTTCTTCAGCTGCATTAAACCAGAGACGTCAGACAACGGCCTGCGTTCACCAATGCGAATGGTGAATTACGGCTCTTTGTACCCCGTCTAAGTAGACGTTGATGAATCCTTCCTCCACGTCCACGCGCTTCACCGAGCGGTCGCTCTTCAGCTGCAGAACAAACCGTCAGAATACTGAGAACACGAGTAGTACGTGAAATACGTCAAGAACACCGAGTAGTACGTTAAATACGTCAAGAACACCGAGTAGTACGTTAAATATAGTACGAGAATACAGAGCAGTGCGTCAGGAGGAGTCGGGGGGGCTCACCAGCTCCAGGGAGCTCTGATCCAGGATGAATCCAGAGAGCAGTTTGACGTTGATGATGACCATGTTGGTTTCCTCTCTCCTGCCCTGGTACCTGCACACACACACCACATTACACACACACACACAATATATATATATATATATATATATATATATATAAAAATCTCAGTGGGAATCAGCAGAATGTGAATCTGCTACCTGACGTGCACGAAGAGGACCAGCTGAGGCCGGCTGATATTGCACTTGGGCATCACAGAGGTGGAGACATTGAAGGTGGAGAAGTCGGGTGGAGGAGGGACGTTGTAATGCATTGAGACCTGTGGGGACACGTCACAAAGCATCGACCTTTAGTAACAAGTATACATGAGGCGCTGATCATATCACGATTGTTTACCAGAGGACACCAAACTGTTGAGCATCAGGTAACCATGGTGACGGGAGTCCGATCAGTGAAACGTGATCAATGTCGTCATCGATTATTTTCTTCATCACAAAATATTTAAAAAGAACAGATTGGAGTATCGATAAGTAACAGAGTTGATACTCCATCGATGGAACCGGCCTTTTGTTGGCGTCAAACCGCGTGGAGCGTTTGTCACCGCTACGAACGCCGGGATCAGCGGCGCTGTGATTCACGGGACATTAAACATCTCGTCACGCTGCGGTAGCTCCTCCCCCAGGTCCGTACCTGAGCCAGCACGCAGCTCTGGCCGCGGGCCCGCAGCGAGTACTCCCCCGGCACCTCGCTTAGCTCCTCCTCCTGGTACAGCAGCCGGTTGCTCCCGTCCACCCTGAACTCCCAGCTCGGACCCCCCAACGACGTCACCGTCACCGTGGTGACGCCCTCCTTGCTGTAGGTGGCCGCGCCGTACTTGGCCAGAGCCTGGAGGGCCACCACGGTGTCCTGAGGGAAGGGTTAGGGAATTACCCACAAGCCATTGCAACGTGACATTAAACACGGGATGACCGGCGGCAGCGTGCAGGCGTAAAGAAGGTCAACGTGAATGTTAATTAAAAATCTAGAGAAACATCACTAATTCGGTTTGATTGACAGTGCCTGGAAGACGTTGTCATGGTTACAGGACATGTTTCCCAACACAAGCCCCTCCCACACAGGGGGCGTCGGTCAGTCCCTGAGGATTCAGGGTTCAAGGCCTGTGGGGGGGGGGGCGTACCTGTGTGGAGGAGAACCCCCCGTACGGGTTCTGCTGCTGGACGAGCCAGCGCACGATGCCCGACGAGTAGTCGAGTCCGAAGCCCGGCACGGCCGGACCGGAGAGCAGCGCCAGCAGCACGTAGGAGCTCATCTCCACCTCCAGGGAGTCCGGACCTTTGCCAGAAGCCCCGGCTCGGCTCCAATGGCGGAGACCACCTGCCGGGCAGGGGGGGGGGGGCGGCGGAGTATGTTGGAAGGTTAGCGAAAAATCATTAGTGGGAGGTTCTGCAGCCTGCGGCCCTCGAAATGTGAGCGGTAATCTTCCCACGATAGAAATACAGACGATCTAAAAACCAACGGAGTGAAAGACCCGATTGATTTAGTTACTACGAGGGTCTTCAGCTCAGAGCCCCCTGTGGACAGACGAGGGAGTGATTCAGAGTCCTTTTATTTACTCATTACTAATTTAAATTAGGATCACAATCACGTGACGTTTGACCTTTAACCTCGTCCCTCCCAGTAGTCGACCATCACTCAAGTCTGCACATGAGGAACACCCACTTAAACCTCCACCGATTCCACACAATTCACTTCAACTCCTTCCAGTGCTCCTGGAGGAGGCCTCACCCTGCGTGCTGGACTTCTGATGAAGGCGAGCGAGGAGGTCGCTCTTCGCCTCCACGTCTCCGGCGAGGGCGAAGGTGTAGGACATAAGGGCGGAGGTGTAGAGGTTCTCCAGCTGGCCGGACATGGCCTCCTTCAGGCAGGTCAGACACCCCTGAACCATCGGGTCCTGCGTCACGGACCAGAGACGCTGAGATCAACCATTCGATTCATTCATTTGATTTTGTAGCATAAAATCGCAAATTACAAATTACAAAGAGCTTTACAGACATCCTCTGTCCCCAAACCCTCACATCAGCAAAATGAAACCAATCAACCGGCTCTCCAGAGACGGCCGGAGTCATCGCTCCGGCCAACACGCCGAAGAGGAGGAAGAGGACGAGAAGGAGGAAGGCCAGAGCACTGCGGGGGACTCACCGTGGCGTTGGCGTCCAGCTCCAGCAGAGCGGCGGCGATGTAGGCCGTCAGCGACACGTCGTCACTGACTCCTCCCTGAGGAACAAAGCAGCCCGTTACCATGGAAACCAACCAACGGCGTTGGTTGCTTTTGTTGCGTTTCATAAAGCTTCATGCGAGCTGAATCCATAATATTACTAAATAATAATTGATATAATTGTGTATGTAGTATGTTTGATAATGTGCCTACAGCTCGCGTTAGTAAGTATAAACTGTTCATAATTCATCTCCAATATCCATTTTATACTCATGTGATCTCCGTTTACTCAAGTTTGTAACTAAAACTACATTTTACAGATTTCACCTGAACGCATCATGAGCGAGTTCTAATGTAAACCGAGAGGAGCCTGAACGCATCACAATGTACCTGAAGGGAGCCCCTGTTGGTTAGCCGTTAGCTGTTAGCCACTTCAAGGTGTTCCTCGGCTTCAGGAAAACACTTTGATAGGAAGTTGCTCTCAATAATTTGGAATGTTTCCTCTGCTGCTGTGTGTGTCTGTCTGTGTGCGTCCGTGTGTGTGCGTCTGTGTGTGTGTGTCTGTCTGTGTGCGTCCGTGTGTGTGCGTCTGTCTGTGTGCGTCTGTGTGCCTCAGTCTGTGTGTGTCTGCGTGCGTCCGTCTGCGTGCATGCGTCCGTGTGCGTGCGTCCGTGTGCGTGCGTCCGTGTGCGTGCGTGCGTCCGTGTGCGTGCGTCCGTGTGCGTGCGTCCGTGTGCGTGTGTCCGTGTGCGTGCATCCGTCTGCGTGCGTCCGTAAAAGCAGGGGCGTGCGTTTAGAAACGCACACACACGTGCGCCTGTGAGCGTCAATGTGCGCCCGAAAGTGTGCGTCAATCAAAATGCGCCTGGTAGCGTATGCGTGCGTCAGTTTACGGGCGCCAGTGTGCGTCTGTGTGCGTCTGTGTGCGTCCGTCAGTCACCTTCATGCCGTTGTGTAGGAGCCTCCCCACAGAGCGCACGCAGCCGTCGGGCCGCTGGAGGCTGCTCAGCCACCGCCGGGCGTCACCGATGTGGGCGTCGTTCACGAAGATGTACGGCCGCGCCCCCCCGAAGGACTTCATCACGAAAGAGGTCAACCTGGGGGTCAGATTGTAGTTAGTGAGCACGAATCATTTCATTGAGAGATTCTGTAGCAGAACTCGCTCCACTTTAAAACCACCGGGATAAAGAAAAGGGTCAAAGGTCATTGGTCAAAAATAATATTGATCGATGTTTCTTTAAAAATTAAGACATTTTTTCCACTGTCCAGGTTGTACCAACGTGTGTGTGTGTGTGTGTGTGTGTGTGTGCACACGTTTGTTAACCCCCCTGAGGCACGGAGCTGTAAGCCTATTAAATGCAAATATATATTCATATTTTCTGGCTCACTGTAAAGTAAATTATTAGGATTCTCGCCGGAGCCAAGGACACAGTGTGTGTGTGTGTGTGTGTGTGTGTGTGTGTGTGTGTGTGTGTGTGTGTGAGGTTGGACAGCGAATAAAATGTTCCATGATTTTCTATGATGCAACTGCAGTTTTTCCCGAGTTATATATTCTGCTAAATATTTTAGTATTAGTGTGCTAGTATTTTAAGAATCAAAGTTTAACAGTATTTCTTCCCTTTTAATAAAACAATGGAATGCATTGATCATCATTTCTTACTTTTAATTAAATAGATTTACTTCTATTACTTTATATAACACCCATTCCAGTACTTGTATAAATAGCATTTATAAATGTGTCACATTATTGCCTGAAACACTGAGGATGTTTTGACGTTAAATATTAAACCGGTTGCCATGACGTCGCCTGTTCACTGACCAGGTGTTTCCAGACTCGTCGCTCTTCCCAAAAGCGCTGAAGGAGCCGTCGTCGTGTTTGTAGGTGAGTTCCCTCTGATACCCTGACACACACACACACACACACACACACACACACACACACACACACACACACACACACACACGTTGTTATAACCGGTATCCTGCACTAAACACGTGTTGGTTCCTGATGGTTCCGTCTCAGCAGGATAGAGGACGAGGCCCCGGACAGTAAAGAATTAGTACCTAGAGTTCAGAGGTTAAACCTCCGGCTCCATCTATTGGGTCACTCACCGGCCTTCAGGAAGCGCGTCGCCCGGCTCTGAACCTCCTCCGTCAGCTGATTCGTGCTCCTCAGGTAGTTGAGGATGAAGACGTTGGGCGCGAACAGCACCATGTTCTGCTCGCCGCAACCGTACGGCATGGCCAGGAGCCGGTCCAGGTTCTTCATGGCCCGGCCCATCAGGTCCCCTGTGGAGGCAGAGGTCCACCTTATAGCCCCGGGGGGCGCTTCTGGTTCTACAGCTGAAGGAGCTTGGGGTGAAGTGACACCTACCCAGAACAGAGACGGAGCCCCTGGCCGATCCAGCCACAAACATCTCAGGCATCAGAAGGGAGATGTTCTTCTCCACGGGCCCCTCTGACCCCCCCACAGAGCAGACGACACATTAAAGGACCCACGAAGAAGAAGAGAGCTTAAAGCAACAGTTGCACATTTGGGGAATTGTGAAATTGCTGCTCGAGTTGGATGAGAAGTTCATGTCTATGTATGAAGCTTAGCTTAGCATATAACCCCAGAATAGCACATAGCCACAGCGTAGAACATAGTTTAGCATATAACCCCAGAAAAGCACGTAGCCACAGCGTAGCACATAGCTTAGCATATAACCCACGAAAAGCACGTAGCCACAGCGTAGCGCATAGCTTAGCATATAACCCCAGAAAAGCACGTAGCCACAGTGTAGCATGTAGCTTAGCATATAACCCCAGAATAGCATGTAGCTTAGCATATAACCCCAGAATAGCACGTAGCTTAGCATATAACCCCAGAAAAGCACGTAGCCAGCGCAGGTTGTCAGCGAACGCTCACCTGCAGGACAGAGCAGCGCGTTGTGACTGACCATCTGCGGCGTTCCCTCAGCCTCGTGCACACAGAAAGAACAAGAAGATTATTTAAAAAGGAAAAGTGTATAAAAACCAGGTGCATCTTCAACTGAGCTCCATTGTTCACCACAATGAACTCAAACCAACTTCCTGCTGCTCACTGAAACTCCGAATGTGGATTAACCCGCCACTGAGAATATATATTAAATATACACACGAATATCGTCCCGCCTGAAGAACAAAAACAGCAGCTGGCGGTTTAAGGAAATGAAGCATGCTTATACAAACGTCCTGAAAAGTTATCAAAATATAATAAGAAATCGTCACACCATAAGAAACAAAATAAAGAGCACAGCATGTCTACGGTTATTTCATGGTCCTCCACCCGTCGAGAGGAGCAGCACTTGTCACTTCCTGTCTACTCGTTTTTAACGTCCACTGACCTCCACCAGCAGGGATCGGACCACCGTGTCCACCCGGCCCGCCTCAGGGACAACGGCCACCTCGTTCCCGCACAGCAGGTCGGTCCTCAGGGCCTCGGCGCCGACCTTCACATCCACCCGACCTGAGTGAGACAGACAGACACATTTATGCACCGAGGCAATGGAAGGAAACCGCCTTTCAATCCACGCTCATTATTCTCCATCACCTCTCCTCTGTGTTTGCCTCCCCTCCCCCCTCCCTACCCCCCTTACTTTACATTGAGCAGCACTTTATTAACATCAGCATCCACAGTCTATGCACGGAATTGACCTTGAGTGCCGGCAGGCCGGAGCACCACCTGGTAAATAGCTGGCATGGCCCCAGTGGCACATTCCAGGGCCTCTCTGCCATCGGCGGCCTCCTGCCACCGTTATTACTCAACGCCATCTGATCGGTAACCGATCTCCCAGCTTTTATCTACCAGCAAACAATGGCGGCCTGTACAACCGTGGTCTTGGCCCTCTGCCCTCTGCTACCCTGGCGTTGGAGGTAGCAGAGGGCAGAGGTCTCTCCCAGCGATCATGCTGCTGGATCCGTTTGGTCTGATGGAACCTGCTGGTGTGTATCAGCGTCCCTCCATTGGCGGCACCCAGCAGCTCAACACAACCAGGTTAGAGATAAGAGAGGTATGGAAATCAATGTCATACATGGACAGCGACAACAGCAGGACCCCTGGGAGGTTGTCTTCTCAACTGGCTAAACAAGTACATTATATATACAGATAATTCCCAAGGGTATTCAATTCTGCAGTAGGTCATTATGGCTTTTTTCTTTTCTGATCCACATTTTATGCATCAACGTAGAACTACATGGGTGTGCGGTTTCATGTGGATCATAATCATTTTTAGAAAGACGACCTGCCTCAACTGCTTGGTGGGGAGGAAGTATTATTACAAAGAATACCTT